AGGGGCTTAGAGGTGGAAGGGGAGGGGTTAAAGAAGGGGAGGGGCAATGCTGAGGGTGGGAGGGACTAAAAGGGGGAGGGGCTACAGGAGAGGAGGCGAATAAAGGGTTAAAAATGAGGGGGAGGAGCTAAAGGAGAGGGGGAGGGGCTAAAGAGGAAGGGGCGGGGCCTCCTGGGGTCATTTTGGGGTCATTTTTGGGTCATTTTGGGTTCATTTTGGGGCCATTTTTGGGGTAATTTTGGGGTTTTTTCAGGGTGATTTTTGGGAAGATCTGGGAGTGATTTCGGGGTGATTTTTGGTGTAATTTTGGGGTCACTTTGAGGCCATTTTTGGGTGATTTTGGGTGATTTTTGGGGTGATTTTGGTGTGATTTTGGGATAATTTTTGGGTCATTTTGGGGGTGATTTTTAGATGATTTTTGGGTAATTTTAAGGGGTGATTTTGGGTTCATTTTTGGGGTTATTTTGGGGTTATTTTGGGGTAATTTCAGGCTGATTTTGGAACAATTTTTGGACAGTTTTTGGGGTGATTTTTGAGCTATTTTGGGATGATTTTTGGGACGATTTTTGGGGTGATTTTTGGGGTGACTTTTATCTCATTTTTGGTGTTATTTTGGGGTAATTTCAGGCTGATTTTTGAACAATTTTTTGACTATTTTTGGGACAATTTTCTGTTATTTTGGGGTGATTTCAGGCTGATTTTTGGGGTGATTTTTATCTCATGTTTGGGGTTATTTCAGGGTAATTTCAGGCTGATTTTTAAGCGATTTTGGGATGATTTTTGGGGTAATTTCAGGCTGATTTTTGACCAATTTTGGGGTAATTTTTTATAATTTCAGGCTGATTTTTGGGGTGATTTTTATCTCATGTTTGGGGTTGTTTCGGGGTAATTTCAGGCTGATTTTTTGGTCGATTTTTGGGGCGATTTGGGTGAATTTCGGGCCCTTTCCCCCCCGCAGAGCCGGAACGTCTCGGGGCTGCGCGAGGCCCTGCAGAGGAAAATCGGGGCCCTGGAGCTGCAGCTGCGTCTCCATGGCAACGGCTCCCATCACCATGGCAACCACCAGCACGGCCACCACGACGGTCACCACGGCAACCACCAGGAGGAGAAGCATCCCCACGGTTTCCATGGCAACCACCACGGCGATCCCCATGGCAACCACCACCAGGAGAAGCACGGGGACCACGCGGAGCATCACGGTTACCATGGCAACCGCCATCACCAGGAGGAGGAGAAGCATCCCCACGGTCACCATGGCAACCACCACCACAACCAGGAGGAGGAGAAGCATCCCCACGGTTTCCATGGCAACCACTACCACCACGAAGGTCACCACAGCGACCACCACGGTCACCATGGCGACCACCAGCGCGGTCACCACGGCGACCACGAGAAGCACGGGGACCACCAGGCTGGTCTCCATGGCAACCATCACCAGGAGAAGCATCCCCACGGTTTCCATGGCAACCACGAGAAGCACGGGGACCACCACGAGAAGAACCTCCACGGTTTCCACGGCAACCACGACGGTTTCCACGGCAACCACCACTCCCACGGTCTCCATGGCGACCACGAGAAGCATCCCCACGGTCTCCATGGCGACCACGACGGTCTCCATGGCAACCACCACCACGAGAAGCATCCCCACGGTTTCCATGGCAACCACAACGATCTCCATGGCAACCACCACCAGGAGAAGCATCCCCACGGTTTCCATGGCAACCACGCCCCCCACGATCACCACGGCAACCAGCACCCCGGTTACCACGGCGACGGCGCCAAGGCCGCCGACCCCTCCAGACCCCACGGTTACCACGGCAACCGCAGCGCCGCCCTCCACAGCAACCACCCGCCCGGTCTCCATGGCGACGGCAAGCCCGGCAACCGGCTGGAGGCCGGTAACCATGGCAACCGCCCGCAGCACCAGCACCTCCTCCATGGCAACCGCTACGGTAACCACGGCAACCACCACGGGGCGGCGCCGCCCTCCCCCCGGGCCGCGCGTCTCCATGGCGACCGCGCCGAGCATCCCTGGGGCCGTCGCCATGGCGACCGCGGGGGGGGGGAGGAGGAGGAGGAGGAGGAAGAGGAGGAGGAGGAGGAGGAGGAGAGGCCGGGTGAGATTTGGGGGATTTTGGGCATTTTGGGGGATTTTTGGGGATTTTTAACATTATTTTTGGGGATTTTTGGGGGGATTTTAGGGGATTTTTGGGGATTTTGGGGGGGATTTTGGGGGATTTGGGACCCCCGGGGTTGGGATTTTGGGGGCAGATTTGGGGTAAATTTGAGGGAATTTGGGGGAATTTGGGGACAATTGAGAGGAAATTTGGGAGAGAAATTTGTGTCGAATTTGGGGGTAAATTTGGCTGGACTTGGGAGAGAATTTGTGTGAATTTGGATGGGAATTGGGGCCAAATTTGGATTTTGGGAGATTTCAGAGGGGAATTTGGGCGTGAATTCAAAGGGGAATTTGGGGGAATTTTGGGCAAATTTTGGAGGAATTTGGGGGGAATTTGGGTGAACTTCAGGATGAATTTGGGGAACAATTTGGGGAACAATTTTTGGGGATTTGGGACTCCTGGGATTGGGATTTTGGGGGGATTTTGAAAAGGAATTTGTGATGAATTTCGGGGAGAATTTGGGGGGATTTGGGACCCCAGGGTTGGGATTTTTGGGTCATTTCAGGGGAAATTTGGGGGAATTTTAGGGGAATTTGGGAAAGAACTTGGGACTCCTGGGCTTGAGACTTTGGGGAAGAACTTGAGGCAAATTTGAGGGGGAATTTAACCATATTTTGGGCGATTTTGGGGCAAATTTCAACGGGTTTTTTTTGGAAATTCGGACCAATTTTGACCAAAATTCCCGGGTTAATTTTCATTTTCCCAAATTCCCCGGTTTTTGCCCCAGGCGGTTTCCGGGCGCCGTTCCCCCTCCGCACCAATTCCGTGTTTGCCCGGGTGGGGGTGGTCTGGGAATTTGGGGGATTTGGGACCCCCGGGGTTGGGATTTTGGGGGACAAATTTGGGAACATTTTGGGGCAAATGAGTGTGCTTAGGTGTGACTGAGTGTGCCCAGGTGTG